CAATATTGACTTATTAAATATGTGCATAGGTGACATACTTAACATAATAGTTTCCCTTGAAAAGCTTCATAGAAAACACCGACCTTACCTAACCTACTTAGTATGTTAAGATAAGCATCTTATTGCTTCGTAATTACAATTATTACCTAACCTATACCTATAATAGGTTAAGTAACAATTGTAATTACGAAGCTATAAGATGCTTATTTTAACATACTAAGTAGGTTAGGTAAGGTCGGTGTTTTCTATGAAGCTTTTCAAGGGAAACTATTATGGTATGTCAAATGGTATGTCACCTATGCACGCAACTAATAAGTCAATATTGACTTATTAAATTTGCGAGAACGGGTTGTATATCGAGGTCCCCCCCCCCCCCCAGGTCGAATTAGTGACCCCGCCCAGGATGCAACCCCACAACAAGCTAACTATATAACGCCTGAGCACCTACTTACTGCTAGGTGAACAGAGGCATTAGGTATAAGGAAATATGCCCAAAAGCTAATGTCCCGCCCGGGATTCGAACCCAGAATTCTCGATTGTGCGTCGAGATCCAACCCAACTGAACTACGGGGATCCTGGTGGTTTCCCGGTAGGGGGGCTCTCTGACAACCCGCCGGCTTCCTGTCTTCGTCGAGGCCCGTAGTGCTAGCCGACACACACTCAGGTAAATTCAATATAGGATAAATTCCTACGAGGTAAGACAAGTCAAGTAAATCTCATCTTATCCATATCTTCTAAATAATATCCATATACTATGCGTGCTAGTGGTCTTACAAGAATGTAAAATCAAGTTAATTTCTATTCTCTGTTAACCCCAATATACCTTCTTGTATATAAATAAATAAATAAATAAATAAATAAATAAATAAATAAATAAATATCCAAATCTTCTAAATGAATTTCGGTGTCTGCTCGAAACGTTATGCGTGCTAGCGGCTTTACAAGAATGAAAAACATGAATGCTATGTACTCTCAATCTTGATGAGCTAGTTACAAAATTTAGTATAAGTCGTCACATCAACAATGGGTTCGAGATCGACCACAAGTACAGTTTCTAAATTAAGCAACTGACATATGTGGAGAGCTAGTGTTACAATTGATGAGTCAGAGTTTGTCTCCTGTGGATTCCTTCCCATATTGGTCTCCGATTGTAATTTTGTAACTAGCGTCAAATATTGTTATTTGCTTAGCTAGACGAACTAGAGGGTTCAGTTCCTGAACCGATTATGTGCCTCTGTAATCCTTTACACCACTGCCCACGGGATGGGTATGGGGTGCATAATAAAGAAAGAAATTGAAATTGATATGTAATTTAGTGAGTGTCCATTGCACACATTTCTGACCCAATTACTGTGAGTAGTCTCTTGTACTCCTTTCCCATAAATGCTGCACACAGAATTACACACTGTAGCTGTTTCGAGTTGGATTGTAACTTGCTTAGCTAAATGAATTGCGGGGTTCAGTCCCTGAGCCCAATATGTGCCTCTGTAACCCTTTCCACTACCGCCCACAAGATGGGTATGGGGTGCATAATAAATGAATCAAACTAAACTAACTATGTACTCTCAAAAACCCAAAGTACTTTCTTGCATAAATAAATAAATAAATAAATAAATAAATAAATAAAGTGTAAAATTAACATTAAATAATTACTTATGTCTAGGTTTAAAAGGTGTTCTTTAAGTGGGCTTCAGTTTACGCTTTTTATAACTAACTTTTTAGGTAATACAAGAACAAGAAGTTCCCCATGCCTGCCCACGTGCCGTCCGGCACGTGGGCAGGCATGGGGAACAGACATGTAGGCAGGCAGGCAGGTAAGTGGGCTAGCAGGTGGATAGGAAGGCACGCAGGTAGTTGGCAAGTAGGTATGCAGACAGGGTAGCTAGCAGGCAGGTAGGAATGTTGGTAGTTACTGTTGAGATGTTCGTCTATAGGGCATTGCAATGGACGAAGTGCGCGATAAGATAGGTACAAGTAACAGAGGCTCACCTTATGCTGTAAGATTCCTGGTTCAACGTTGACGAGCGGACGTCTGGACACCTGCTCCGCCTGGAGGCCACCGGTTTACGGTCTGTTTCGCGATTTTGGAATGTGATAATGCCGTTTGGCGTTCCTATTCAACGGAACTATCCATCTATCATCATACTATCATGCAAGAGGAGCCACACATCTATGGTTCATCCAATAAAATCAGCAGACTTCTAGATGTTACTACTGCTCGGCCTAGACTCGGTTACAAGTATTTCTGGGAATTCTCATTATCTGCTGATGTAGACCTGACCAAATGTAAACTGTGTCAACAAAATTATTCGCACACCCTCCGTCACTATGTGATGGAGTGCGAAAAGATACGTGAATTTAGAGACAATTCTATAACCAATGTTCCAGCGATGTGTAAATATTTCATTCAAAATGATCTGCTACCAGAAATTTTAGCCAAATATCCCCAGTTTGCTAACTGTAGGTAGTAACTAAGTGATTGTAACCTATCCACCGCTGCCCACTGGATGGGGGGCGGTGTGCAGGACAAACATATAAATTGTGACACTAGCTCTCCACATGTCAGTTGCTTAATTTAAAACCTGTACTTGAGGTCGATCTCGAACCCATTGATGATGTGACGACTTATATTGAATTTTGTAACTAGCTCATCAAGATTGTAACTTGCTTAGCTAAATGAATTGTGGGGTTCAGTCCCTGAGCCCATTATGTGCCTCTGTAACCCTTTCCACTACCGCCCACAAGATGGGTATGGGGTGCATAATAAATGAACTAAACTATTCAACGGTCCAGATTGTCACGACGCTGATCATTACATTGGTACACATATTGCTTTGGGTCACAGGATAGTTGATAGATTTTTAAAGTTTTCTGCCTGGTTCTTCGGGCGGGGTGACTGTCCGGCGCTGAGAGTTGGTGGGTCTTGATGGGCTCCTGTGTGGTTTCTGCTCGGCCGGGAGGGCACCGGGTAACGTTTTGGTTTTGTTACCCAGTGTTCACTGTGTGGGGTGGAGCCGGTGCTCGTCACCCTGAGGGATTCTTCATTCATCTGACCATCCGAGAGTTTATTGGCCGCGAAGCACATTAGCTTCCGCTGATATGAGACCTTACTCCCGCCATTAGGCTACGCGATTAACCCTTCACAGGTACGCTGGGGCCCATCCGATCCCTCGAGCGTCGTCGCTCCTAAATCAACAACAACCTTAAACTGTAGGCTTCTGGGGAAGGTAGCTGAAGCAAGTCTAGGCTTCTTAGGTAGACAAGGGGAGGAATGAAGGTTGGCGAAGTCTCAATCTACAATACAGCCAGAATAGTAGCCCAAATCTAGAGGGTGGAATAGCAGGTACTTGTTCAACAAGGTGCTGTTCTCTGCTGGAGGCGTGCGCAGGGTGGGGGGCGCACGGTTGTCGCCCACCAATCAGGACACGGCTTCACCCAAGGTATAAAACATTCCCTCTGGAGGGCACTATGAATGTAGCTCCCTCCATATTACGATGGTAGGCAGGTAGGTAAATACTCACCTAGTTGTGCTTGCGGGGGAAGTGGTTGAGCTTCGGCTCTTTGGTCCCACCTCTTAAATGTCAATCAACTGGTGTACAGATTTCTGAGCCTATTGGGCTCGATCATATCTACATTTGAAACTGTATGATGTCTGCCTCCACCATATCACTGCCCAATGCATTCCATTTGTTAATTACTCGAACACTGAAAAAATTGTTCTTAATATCTGTGGCTCATTTGGGTACTCAACTTCCACCTGTGCTTATGTGCCACATGTTAAATTAAGTGTCTTTATCTACCCTATAGTAAGTAGTCAGGCTCGCAAGTGGGAAGATATGCAAGATAGTAGGCAGGCTGGCAATTAGGTAGACATGCTATGGGGTCCATTAACCCCATAGGATGTGTATGGGTTGCAAAACCACTAACACACACACACTGTTTTGGGCAGTGTGGTCCATAACTATGTACAGTATGGGCATAGGGTCCAACATCATATATCTAATTACGGTTATAGTGAAAATGTTAGTCAATAAATAGTTGAATTAGTTATTGAATTAATGTGCAGAGAACATTCCTCAATACACATTTTTCTTGCACATACCTAGGATATGTCAAGATATTCATTACATATCACATGTGGGTATTTGCTGATATTTACAAGATATTTATGCACCAGCTAATATGTTGCACTCTCAACGTAACTAAGATTATGTTCCAAATTCTAATTAGTGCCCTAAGCATTTTTTCAGTCAAACTGGCAGATGTGCCTAGCTTCCAAATGTGCAATTAAACACTTCACAGGTATGTCAAAATAGTTTTGTTACTATTTTCTACCACATTTGACAGTAAAAATATGCCTTATTCTGTATAACAAGCTTAATAATAATGTGATGAATCTAGTCCCAGTGCATATAAATAGCACTGGATATTAACAGTTAAATGGAAAACCATCATTACTCCTGTAGGGAAGGGTAGTACTAAACCAGACAAAAATATTGGCTTAAAATATTAGTTTAGAAAAACTTAATAAAATGATTAAAGACAATTCCTGCCATAATAATATCCACAGTAATAGTATCACAAAATTAGTGCCATTTAGTATTAGTACCTCAATGAAAATAATTAGTGCATCAGCCATTTTACAGACTAGGTACAATTGGCATTATTATTATTATTACCACCTTATTTCCTACTTCCCTGGAAAGAGTAAGATATCAGCCATGGGAAGACAGTGCAACAGTACAAGATAATGCAGCTACAATTATTAAAAACAAACTTGTGTCCATTTAGCATACATTACACTGCACTGGTTCACAAAGTCAACCATGGCAGCACCCCATCACTGTGTAGACCAAGTTCCGTTATACAGTGCTACTCATGAGCTATCCTAGGCAAACATTCTCTGCATCTTCACAAACTACTTTCACTTACTACTTTTTGTATTAAGACAATTTATTGATTAAGATGTATATTCAAGTATGGAAAATAAAATATGCAAATACAAGACGATTTATTTATTTTAGTAACCTTCACAATCACAAATTCAAGATGTACTGTAAACATAACCCATATTTCATCTACCTAGTGTAAATGATTTTCAATTCAGAAAAAAAGAAAAATGAAAATTTTGATATACACCAATGTAAAAATTACCATTTCAACATTTCCCCCCCCCCTCCCCTAACAAAAACATTAGTACCATATTCCTGAATCTTGATAAGAAAACCCTGCATTAATAACATTGACAAAGTGTTTCTGAAATGTTAACAGTTCAGCTGGGAAATGCAGGATACAGTATATGAATATCCTTTATACAGAGGCTTTACATCTCCTCATCTTCATCAGAGGAATCCTCCTCCAGAGCAGCTTTGGCATAGCGTTCTGCCTCCTTGTATACAGCGTCTGGGACTAGCTGGTGAAGACCTCCAGATTCATTACAAACCCAGGAGAGCTCCATCTCAAAATGCCTGTCCTTTACTTCATCATGGACAAGGTAAATGCTGAAATGTACAACAAACAAAATTATAGTGTGTGTGTAAAATAAATAAATAAATAAATAAATAAATATATATATATATGTATGTATGTATGTATGTATGTGAGAAAGCTGCATGAACGCGCAAGCCATATATCACTAAGAACTCTTTGACCCGGCCAGGATTCGAACCCATGCCGTCCAGGATCACCCCTAAACGTACACAGTACCGTGACCACCGCACCAATCCTTAAAGACTGACCAATCCTTATAGACGATCATTGGTGCGGTGGTCACGGTACTGTGTACGTTTAGGGTTGATCCTGGACGGCATGGGTTCGAATCCTGGCCGGGTCAAAGAGTTCTTAGTGATATATGGCTTGCGCGTTCATGCAGCTTTCTCTCACACACACATATTATATATATATATATATATATGGAAGGGAGTACCACCTCTAGCTGGAAGAAGGGGGACATATATATATATATATATATATATATATATATATATATATATATATATATATATATATATATATATATATATATATATATATATATATATATATATATATATATATATATATATATATATATATATATATATATATATATATATATAAAAAGAGCAAATATTGTACCATATAGTACATTATTAATGAGGTTAATGATATTCGCTTAATTTAATGGGATAACAATTAATGCATTGTGAAAATCAACTTGACATGGTACTTAACCCTTAAGCTGTGTCATTTTCAATGCCCAAGACATTACAGTACATCTTTCTAAATGGCTAAATAATTTTAACTGCCATCGATATGGCTTCAAGATAATTCCATTATAAATTGTGACTAAACTTCCTTGTATTAATATAAAATCTCAGTAATAAATGTTTTGTTTTTTAATGAATGAATTTCATCTCCATCCAACATTGTGGACTGCACTGTGTGGGACAAAATTCGGGTTAATTTCCTCTCCACCCAACACTACATGGCCTAGCTGGAGCTTACTTTATGGGTTAAAGTAGCATTTTGTAATACTGTATTTGTATTCCTCATATCAATCACTGGTATTTATCCCAAAACAGGGATTAAAAAAAAAAAGTTGCAACCAGAGTACAGTATTAATAAAAAACAAGACACTCGTGTATTAGTTTGTAGATCTACAAGAAAATAGAGGTCAAACTCACATTTTTGCAGCTTCCTTGATAAGCTCCCGGCATGTCAGATCTCTTAATTTTAGTTTCTCAATTTCAGTTTTTGCATTTTGTTTTGCTTTGCCAACTGCACAACCATAGTATCCCTGTCAATAAAAAGTATTAAGTTAATATACTTAAACCAGTGTATCCAGCTGCATTTATATATCTATAATAACCATTGCATGTAAACACTGCACAAGCATATTTGTTCTTTTTATCAAAATCTGCCAATTAGTTTTTAATGTTTGGGTACAGTACACAAAACCAAATTCAGTAGAAGTGCATATACTGTAGTTTGTCACAGTATGCATACACTAATCAAGAATTTGTCCTCTATATGTAAAAATGATTACCCCTAGTTTGGATGTAAAAAATTGAGAGATGTACCAATGCTCAAATTTTTGTAGATATCGATATTGTACTGACTTATTAGCAAATATCCAGTATTGAAACACAGACTGATCCTTATCCTGCACTTCTTTAATCTTACTAGGTTTTCAGATGAGGATTAAATGTTGGGGCTGCACACTCAAGTGTGGGTCTCTAATATGCTGTTTACTCAGTTTACAGTGTTTAAAGTTTACAGTGTTCTGAAAGTTTCTTTGTCTAGGTCCGTAAAGGTTATCACCATGCTGCAGACGTCATTGAGTTACCTTATGGTGATTCTGAGGATCAACATTCCTGTGACCATGTCTCTGATCAGACCCCCTGGTTGTTGGTCTGGTCAACCAGTGGGTAGATTCAAGCATTTATGCAAGTATTGACAAACCTGTACATCTCTTCTCAATCTTTGGCAGGTTTGCTTACATTTATTAAATAGTTTATGAGCTCCAAAGCACTAGGAGGCTGTTATTAGCAATAACAACAGCCTCCTAGTGCTTTGGAGCTCACAAACTCTTTAATATATGTAAACAAAGCCACAAAAAAATTGAGAAAAGATGTACAGGTTCCTAAGTATTTGCATAAATGCTTGATGACTTTTTGAGGAGGCGGGGCAGTGATGTAGTCCATCATATACTATATTAACTTAATTAATTTTCACTTAGTTCTCTATCCCACAGAATTCCCAGAAGGAATTCTCAACTTTTACGATACTTTCCCATCTGCAGTACTGCAGTTATCCCTCACTATTACATACGGATCACAAGACACAATCCTTATTGTTGAAGTCCAGTCCAACACAATTATTGATATATAATATATATACATCATGAACTATATTGACAAGGAAAAATGAAAAAAAAAACTGCATAATTATACAGAGAAAACTTGCAACTTACATTACACATGCCAGATGGGTCAATGAGGTAAAGCTGAGGGCCATCATGATCAAAGGCCCCAATCATGACGGAGCAGCCATAAGGTCTCACTGCAGAGTACAGAGTGTAGGCATGGAGGTAGGTACTGACACGTTCTGCTAGGAGCTGATGATACACAACATGTAAACATTTATGCAAGTGCATACATGTATTTATACAACATTTAAATACCTCTAAAAAATTTAATGTACTAGTGTAGCTATTCATACAAGTCAACATCATAATTTTGAAACATTTTAATTCCTAGTTGCTACTGCTACTAGAGATAAGTTATTTTTCTAATAATTATCATTTCTCTTGCATATCCATTCCTAGCTCCTACTACTGCATTTAAATCAGAGCAGAGTTTCTGATTTTTCAGATGCACTATGCTTCGTTCCTTCATACACTCACCTCTTACAAATGATTATAAGATTACAAGACTGTATAAGTCAACTGCCAAGAGCTTCCATAATACTTTTTGGGAGAAAAAGATTTATAATCAAAATTAAGAATTACCCTTAACCTGTGCACTGTGCATAGCTCCATAAGGCACTTGACCAGTGGTGTACATAATGCCTTCTGGTGCTCACGGGTATATCGCAAGATTCAAAACTTGCACACAGTAGGTTGGGTAGCAGATGGAGGCTTGAAGCCTCAGCACAACTGTGAGTGTCCATCATTTTGTAAAAAATTCCTAGCATGCCCCATGTCTGCCAGTAGGCTCAGTTTCGAATGAGCAACTATGGCCAATAATGCACGCACATCTGGTTCCCGGTCATCCATGGGTCAAGTGATTGAAAAACCACTCTCTGAAGATGAAATTCACAACATAATTGTTTGAAGCGTACTGTACATGTTATGTTGACAACCAAAAGCCCGATAAAAACGTAACACAAGTATCAGATACGAGTGATACGGACATTGATGACAACAATAGTGTGTGTATAGTATGGCCATCTTGTGCTGTCCTAGGTCAACGCCACTTCCATCATCACCACCATCTGTGCCCTCAGCCATTCCCGAGTGCCATGATAATGCAGAAGATGACACTTTTTTCTGGTTTCAGTGACACTGGTTTTGATACAAGTAGAATAGATGAACCTAGTGGTAGTGGCTTTAATGTTGGTGTTGTCAGGCACCAGCATGTCTCCACCCATGAGGACACTGACAACAGTGTGGCCTCCACTTCAACTGTTTGAGGTAGGTTTATACAACGGAGAAGAGCCACATTTCCTGACCAACGGTATTTTAGTTAAAGAAAAGGGAGCCTTTGTATTGGCACCTATGCTGCTAGTGCTCATGGGGGTGGCACCACCAATACAAGCAGTACAGGTATACTCGTGTAGAATGATTGAGCCACGTTTGTACCAGAAATAGCAACATATGATGATATGGATGTTGGTATTAGAGATTTTCCTGTGTGCTTATGATGATATGAGTGAAAGTGATTATTTTATGGATTATTTTGATGAGTTGTTCATGCAGCATTTTGTTGATGAAACAAACCAGAATGCAATGCAACTCATTACACATGGCATATTACCAGATTCACATATGACATGTAGGAAAGAAACAAGTGTTGGTGAAATATGTTTCTTGCGCTGAGTATGATGATGAAATATGCTGTGAAACATGTCATTCTGGATTATTGGAATAAAGACTGTTTTCCCAACCCCAGTCTTAGGGAAGTGCATGTCACATGATAGGTTATTGCTACTTCTAAGGTTTTGAAAACAATGATGTGGATCAAAACAAGAGACTGTAGAAAGTGAGGAAAGTGCTCAGTGATGTATGGAGGAAAATGCTCAGTGATGTGTGAAGGAAGTCTAAGATGGGCTCACCATAGCCCGTGCTACTTGGAACTTTTTGTTCAAAGTAGCTGAATCTAACACAACATAAAACATGAAAAAAGTTCTAAGATTTTTTTTTGTACTGGACCAGAATGTAATGATTGATGAATCACTAATTCTTTTCAAGGGATGTCTTGCTTTCAAGCAGTATATCCCATCGAAACAGCACAGGTTTGAACTTAAAACTTTGGCACACCGCGCCCACGAGACCCGCACTGTCCCGGGTGGGCTTCGGCGTTTCACGGGAGTGCGCGGTAACTCTGAAAAGTGTGTACTCTCTTCAATTTTGTCACCTCAATTCTCGTCCAGGGTTTTTCAATTTGGTATCATTGTGTTCACAATAGAATTCTCTACACGACTAAAGACATATAAAGTCCAAAAGCTCGGCGTACCATCCACAACAAACAGAGAAAGTGAGTGCGTGTTACCCGGGAGCGCATGAGAGCCATAAAATGTGTACACTCCTTTCACGTTTGTCACCTCAATTCCTGTCCTAGGGATTTCATTTTGGTATCATTGTGTTCGCAATAGAATTCCCAACAAGAGCATATGCATATGAAGTCAAAAACTGCAGCACGCTCCACCCGCCGACCAGATGAATGTGGCCCAGAAAGAGAGCACTGCGCCATCCCAAGGCGCCTCTCATTACATTAGAGAGTGAGGTAATACTGAAGTGTATACTCGTTTCTACTTTGTCATCTCATTTCTCGTCCAGGGTTTTTCAATTTGGTATCATTGTGTTCACAATAGAATTCTCTACACTACTAAAGACATATAAAGTCCAAAAGCCCGGCGTACCATCCACAACAAACAGAGAAAGTGAGTGCGTGTTACCCGGGAGCGCAGAAGAGCAATAAAATGTGTACACTCTCTTCACTTTGGACATCTCAATTCTCGTCCTAGGTCTTTCATTTTGGTAACATTGTGTTCGCAAAAGAATTCCCTACAGGAGTATATGCAAATATAAAGTCCAAAAGCCAGGCGTACCACCCACAGCAAACAGAGAAAGTGACGGAGCATAATCCCAGTGAGCGCTAATAAAATGGTATACTGTTTTCAACTTTGTTACCTCAATTCTGGTCCTAGGTCTTTCATTTTGGTATCAATGTATTCGCAATGAAATTCCCTACAAGAGTATATGCATAAAATATCCAAAACCGCTGTCCGCCCCTCCCGAAGTCACCGCCAATTTGCCCCCAAAAACGACGCAATGTTGCGTTGTTACCGGGAATGCTTCAACTAAAAAAACGACGCAATGCTGCATCGTTACCGGGCGAAATTGTTAAATTCTTTGTGATATGTGGTTGTGAGACCAGAATAATGACTGATGTATAATATAATATTCCAGGATCGAAGTAGACATACCCAGTTAAGATCCTCATAGGTTTTCTGGCAATGTGGTAAGACACTCATGAATCAACCTGTCCTCTTAAAAAGAATGTCGCTTTTGGCCGTTTGCCCGTATGGTCAAATATGGACGTAATTTGAAAATGAAATTTTTTTTTAAATAAATTTGGGATTTTTTTTTCAACAACAGTAAGTTAAGGGTCCTCTGATAGGTTAGGTGAGCAGGAAATTCTCATAAAGTTTCAAGTTATGAAAAACGTTAATGAAAAGTTCCTCTTCTAAGCTGTCCGAGGAGGGCCGGACGACTCAAAACAGAAAATGGAACAGTACGTCACTTTTGTGAGTCGATTTCATTTCACATTATGTCCAAATTTGGTCATAGTGCGCATACCAGCCAAAAGTGATGTTATTTTTAAGAGGACGGGTTGCATGAATAACTGCTGAACAAGGAGTATATTCTGTAAACTGACAATTATTATACTAGCCCCTTGCTATGTTCCTGCTTGAACATAAGACTGGAGTCTGTGGCACAGTAAAGCCACATAGGAAAGAAATTATCTGGAGTGTTGGAAACATAGACACGAAGTAAATATGTTATAACTTTTTCACACTGGTGAGATGGTAAACAGTGGCAAAGTGAACTTTGCAACACATGGTAAATTGTATAAACCAAATTGTGTAATGAACTACAATATAAATGAGATTGGTGGATGTGACATGATAGTTGGTGCAGTCAAGTGTGCAAAAAACTGTAAAGTGGACAAATAATTAGTTTTTACCTTGTGGACATAACAGTGCTGAACCGTTTCAACATGTATTTGGTGAAATTAGGCAAGAAACAATCAATTTAGCCTCGCCCTCGTCACAATTACTTATTAACACTTTGTCCCGCCCAGTTTGGCCCGGCAACTACCAATCAGTTCAGCTCAGCACGTGCACACACTGCTCGGCAAAGGTCAAAGCAAGCCAGGCGTTGCTCGTGAGCACTCCATCACACTTCAATGTTTATACTCTTCAGTTTTCTGACCTTATTTTTTGCGCTACATCGTTCATTTTAGTATTAAGTTGTTCGCAATAGAATAGCGCACATTATAAAGCATGTCCCATAATAATCAAACTATAAATGGATTTTTGCACATAATTTGTAGGTTGTGTGTGGTCCCATGTCTATTTCACATTCCATAATTGCACATAGTCCACATAGTTCTCTATATTCCACATTGGTGTGTAGAGTGTAAGGTTGCCTTGCGCACAATTGACTGCTTCAGTGATTATAATACAATCGTAAGTATTGGGCGTGTAATATTGTGAAGGCAGTCTCGTAGTAGGAGTGATTCTAGCAAGTTTTCCTAATCTCCGTCTATGGCAGCAACGAAGTGAAACCGTCCAATGTGGGGACCCGATGTGACCTTGGTGACCGAGTCGAGTTCGCAGTGTGAGAGTACTGTATGGAAGATTAACCCGGTGTGGACAGTTGTAGTGATGATTCGGTATTAGGGACTTAGGCGGAGATTACGATTTCAGTTGGTGACCGGGAGGGTACAGTGGGGTTATTTGAATGGGTAGCTGATTTAAACAAAGAAAGTAGGTTAACGTGTTAATTATTATCAGTGTATATTTATGTAATTAAATTGGAAAACCCAACAGCCGATAATCACCTTCCATATGTTCTTTCATTGAGTTTCTGTATAAACCTCAAGGTACACCTCAAGGGGTTAGTGTAAAGAATCACTTGGTGGAAGTAACTGTTCCTGAGGTAAGGGAGTTATAGTTGTACAATCGTTGTGTTCAGAATGAGCCTGGGTTCAGCAATCACAACAAATTTTGTAGAACCTGGCAGGGTATTCACAACACGGAGATGGACATCACAGACGGAGAAAAGGAGAACTTGCTAGAACCACTCCTACCACGAGACTGCTTCCAGTCGCTCATAACCTCAAATACTGCATCCAGTATCCCAAAGAGGGTATAATCCGAATAACTGTAAACCTCCTTGTTCCCAGAAACTAGAGGGCATCCTTTGTCCTCTTGGCTGGTACATTCGTTTGGATGTGCACCAGCTGTCTTAATCCCTTTGACCTTACCTGGATGTGTGACCAGTCTGAATACTTAACATGTACTCCCACCTATAATTTGTTAAGTGTTGTAGTGCTTGATTCACTAGCTAATATTCACTCCTAACTTGTGGATTACAACAGAACCATTAAGCTGGTATGGTGAATCCAGACAATAACAGCATCCACCACACACAGTCAGCTGACGACACTGCCTCACTAGCAAGAGTCCTCCTACTAACATACCGTTTTTGCTGTTATTACAGTATATACACACATTTTATATAAAAGTATCTGTATGTTTTATTCACAATAGCTGTACCACTAAGCTGGTATGGTGTCCAAATAGCATAGCGGCCACCATACACTGCATGAGAAGTCACACACCAGCTAGCAGACGACGCCACCTCCCTCACACCCAGAACATGCTTCTGCCAGCATACTGTTTTTGCTGTTATTACACTATATTCACACACATTATATATAAGTATTGTTACAGTATTCCCCTGCATAAGTAGTGGTTTCTGCCCTTTCCAACCGTCCTTGACACCAGCATCCTATATTAGCATCAAGAACTGCCAGCAATAAGTACCGAAACATTTTGACCACAGGCTCTTCCCCCCCCCACCCTATCCGCCACTCCACGAGAGCCGCCCACCAAAGACTTGCCGGCTCATACTTCACCACCAGCTAATGACCATTATCCTGCTGGCTGATTGTTCAAGACCCTGCTACTAGCCGGCCTGACGTCACCAGTACATATAAGCACCTGCCGGTTGTATGGGAAGTCAGAAGACTTATGGTGTTCAAGGATAACACATCTTCCCTCTGTCGACGTGGTCTTGACTACGATGCATGAAGAAAGATAGTCAGCACCGTGTATAAAGTATACAGTTGCCTTTGGAATTAACGTAAAGTCATTATTATATTCAGTTGCTTTTGCTAAAGCCAAGTTTCAGGGTTATATCAACTTTTTGTTTAATATTATTTTTGTGTACAATTTATCATTATTTTTTTAAGATATTTAATTATTCATGTTTTTTATATTCTCCCCGCCATTGTTCACACAGCAAAGCACGTAAAAGGCAGCTGTGTTTTAATTTGTTTAACTTTTTTTTTTTTGCTTAATGTGCATTAGACATTTACCAGCTGCAGGGGTAGTACTGCTCTGCTCAAAACATATATCAATATCTACATTTATATTCACCATAACAAACCACTAAGCTAGTATGGTGACTCTAGACAATAACAGTGGCCCGTAACACACCAGCCAGCTGACGATGCCATCTCCCTTACTTCTCACCAAGCTGCCTCCTCCCACCACACTATGCACATCATTAATTCTCACCACAATGCTACTTTTATCAGAATCCTGGCCACTAATCCTGTAGATGAATAATTTTTCAGAAGTAGATTCTTACATGGACCACACAACAAGAGTGTGCTAGCACTGTGAACATCTTAAAACAGAATTGTGTTCACTGATATTTAAACATTGTACACAGTCTTTATTGCAGTAAGGCTCTTCTGTAATACTGTACTATCATCACTAAGCAGTTACATATATATTTTTATATTTTTAAGTAATGCTGTGGTCACAATCTGAGCAGCAGTGCTGTTAGTTCATGATGCAAACACCAGCCTCGGTTGCTCCCTCAATACTGAGGCCTTCACACCCACGATTTCTTTTTGAAATGGTGTTTGTTTACTGGAGCCCTGAGAATGCTGATGTGAACCCCGTGTAGCCGTGGGACTTTTAAATCTTATGCGGTACAGTACTTTATAAAGTATACTGTATGACAATGTGCCGTGCATCAAGTCATAACAAAATTGTACAGTTACAATTGTCACCGCTCAAGGGTTAACCACCGTGCTGTGCAGAGTACCTTGAGGTGCTCTGAGAGTTGTGCTACAGTATTTTATTTTTTAATTAGGTTATATTTTCATGTTTTTTAATGTGTTCATCACTCTGTTTTGAAATGAAAATGGTCGAGTTTGGAAACATTTTGACATTAACTTTACCTGAACATTTATAAAAACAACAAAAATATGTCCTTGATAATTGCACTATGAAGCTTTTACTGAAACCAGGCGCGCAGTGCGGTGGTTAAGTTGTAGTATGAACATTGATATACAGTACAGCAAAATATATATATGAAGCAGTCACAAATACAGTGGGGTCTCGATTTACGATGGTAATCCGTTCCCAGGGACGTATCGTAAGTCAAAGCGATTTTCCCATAAGAAATAAGGGGATTTGAATTAATCCGTTCCCCACCCTTCAAAAATATTAACGTACAAATACATTTTATACTGAATACAATTTTTTTCTCTAACTACAATACAGTACGCATGTTTATCTTACCTTTATGGAGGATTCTTGATGGTGTATGGAAGATGGTGATGAGAGGGGAAAGAGGAGAGATGTTATAACATCAGGCAGTGATGACTTTTCTGGGGTACACACTCTGGCATGTTTTGCCTGCATACCACTAGGACCTACTTGTGGCTCACTGCTTGCTTGTCTTACTAAGAATCTGTCTAAAGACACTTGTTTTCCCCCTACATTTTAACACTTGTCTGTAGTAAGACATCACATTGTCATTTAAAGGTCAATGCAATGGCCTGCTACAGCTTTATCTGTGGGAGTTTTTTCAACAAAACTTTGCAGTTCTTCCCATACTTCACACATTTTCTTAATGAGGAAGGGACATCCTATACTGCCTCTACTCAACTATTTTCTTACGTTGAACCTTACCAGTGACTTTTTTGGCACCCATGGCATGATATATAATAATTATATTAATGTTCAAAAAGCAAAAAATCAACACAAAAACAGAATTTCTTATAGGTGTGATCGTCACTAGGCGGGCAGCTCTAGCAAACTGAGGCAGATCGGCCTGTGTGACCAGGAACCACGCGCTCGGTCGACCCAAACATGTACCAACAAATATCGTTAGTCAACGACACTATCGTAAGTCGAGTCGCATTTTTTTATCAAATTTACATCGTAACTCGAAATTATCGTAAGTCGGGACAATCGTAAGTCGAGGTGCCACTGTATAATAAATATCTGAAGCCAAACATACACAAAATAATAATGGAAGCAATATGTATGTATTCAATCTTAGTCTTATGATAAAACTCTTCATAATATTCCTGAAATATACAATGCAATGGCATAAGGAAATACTTTTTACATTAGCTATACAAAAGATGTTCCTCCGATCTTCAAGTAATAATAAAAAAATCTTCACATTATATCTTGACTGATACAACTGCAGGTGGTAACTAGTTTACAGTACTGTACTTGCATCAAAAGTCTAAATTACTTATATTCACCTTGCAAGGGATAGGCATTCCATACTCAGCTCTGTAGTTTGATGCTTCAATTCTTGCTACATCTACAATGGCACGGGCATCTGCTAATAGTCCAGCACAAGCCTGAAAATAAAATCTAGTTTTGAGTACTATCCTGTACATATTAAAAACATTTTTCTGAGCAGTACACTCAGATGTTAAAGGTAAAATCATATTCACCTTCAGTTAATCTGCCACAGTCAAGGCAGATTAATATAGATTGATATACTGCACCACAATGTCAATGAACTTTTCAAACTGAACACAGATAGATCAAACTGATTCTAAGACGACTGGGAAAACTCAATCTAGCTTATAATGTAGGCAGTACAAAAGCTTTATGTAGCTAAAACATTTCATAGTGCTATTTTGAAACAGAAACTATCAAGCTGCACCCAGATTAACTACATAATCACCCACTAGGTAACTACAAGTGAATACAACTAGGTGGCGGCACCAATACCATAACAAAGACCTTCCGCCCAATCTTCACATTATATCTAGACTGATACAATTGCAGGTGGCAACTAGTACTGTACTTTGCAGTTACATGGCATATAATGTCTTCAGAAACTCTGCATTGTGTATGTGAAGTGCCTTACGTTACAACAGTGAATACTTTATTTTGTACATGTAGACATGAATGTTGTAATTATCAGGACCTTCACTGACTAGTGACCCCTAGTTATATTCTCTGTCTGGTCAGTTCATACCTTCCAACAGTTGTGATTCTCTTCTTGAATTTCCCCCATTTATTTGTGTCGCTTTTATGTCTATTTCCAGGTCCTCATAATTTTGCAACTATTGCAGCATCTCAACTTTTAACGTATGCCTTTCCTCTGACCTATCTCCACTTCCAAATGTCACTACTTGAAATTTGTTGGGATTAAATGTCTGTGAACATTTCTCTGGCAACTTGATAATGGATGGGCTGAATCATAACTTTCTTTTCATGTGTAGGTTTGATTATTTGATATCTGTCACATTACTGCGAATTATTCTCTGCAAGCTTGCAGTGTTTCGGTCCTGCTGCAGGACTGATCAAGGATTTAAATACTTTGGGTTCAAGTCAGCACCCGACCAAATATAAAAAAAAAAAGATACGTCGAAATTAAGCAGTGCTTTCAATATTCCAAACTTAACCATGTTGCTAACAAGTACACTGAAGTAAACAGCACTTGCAATATTTGTTCTGGGAATCACAGGGATTTTAACGAAACAGATAAGATAAAATGCATCCTCTGTGGAGGGGGATGGGGGGGGGGAATGACATACTACAGTGTCTCCGGTGTCCCCCATAAGGAAGGAAGAAATCAAGAAACTCCTTGACAAGGCCAATCAAGCCTCAACAAACAACCAGCCTCAGGGTGAACCTAATTTGAAATTTGCAGCATATCCAAAGTTGCCTGGTCAAGGTAGCAATGTAACCAGACATCACAACAAAATTCTTACCAACAACAGCATAATGCTTTGCCCAATTTTGTTCCCTGTTACAATCAAAACCAGCATTCAATGAACTTAAGCTTTACCTAGACCCCAGCAATTAATGTACAAGTACTCATTACAATTGCAAACTCAACTGCAAAAATTGCCATGCCTTATTCAGGCTATTAATGGTCTGTTGGCAGCCCACAACTACCAGACTGTTACTGTTCCTAATGAGGATAATTACAACAATTACATCTCCAACTCCTCTACCTCAACAGGCACAATCAATCCCAGCCCAAACTGGTGCAGCTCAAGACATCCAAACACGATCCTCCCCAATGGAAGCTGGCACTAGCCATGATATCCAGACACAAAACTCCAGTCCAGACTGCCACAGTTCAGATCATCCAAATACAAAATCTCATTATAATAATAATAATACATCATACTGTATACTTACTGTACCACCACTCATGCAGAGGTATAATAATAATAATACATCATACTGTATATTTACTGTACCACTCATGCAGTGGTACAGTAAGTTATCACTTAAGGAACTGTATGCACTTCATTCAATTTTTGACAGAGATAATAAAAGAATAAAACTAACCATGCCAGCATGTGTGTCAACTGTAAATATGCGCTTGTTGGCTCCATGTTCATAAAGCTTTGATGTAATGATTTTCTCTACTGCAAAAACAACTCCATCCTTGCACCTCAGACCAACTGATGTCCTGGGGAGAGGAAGTCACAGTTTAAAATTTGAAAAGCTGAGGAATGGAAAAAATAATTGTAAAATTGCAAATATGTATTAACTCAGCTAATTTGCATGCAGAGTACATACAGTTTTCAGAAAAAAACCAGCGTTGAATGTAATGAAACGCCATTTTCTGGGTGAGACCCGGAGGCTCCCCGGAGCTTTACCGGCTGATATGCTAATGTCAGACTTTGGCATCAGTCATGTGTATGGAGTTCTAGGGCCTACCGGGGACCACGAGCCAGAACCTGGCCCCCTCAGAGAGGCAAGGGGAGCAATGGCCTATAGAAACCCCCGTGTGGTTGAAAGCATTCTATGTCTGCCATCGACCGGGTCAAGCATCCAGAAAGGTAAGCATTCCAAAACAAACCCCTATTCTGGTGAAAATTGCTACCTAAAGCCGAACTAGTGGATAGAACTGTTCAACAGAAAACAAGGAAACTAGTATGACGTCATACGTCACCGCGCCGCTGTCTGCACAGCTCCCCCCTCCCTGGGAGGGGGAAGGGGGAGCCCCAGACCTCCCACGCCGGCTATCCACCCATTAGTTCTGAGGCTGGATGTCAAAACACGCGAAAAACGCCGACCGGAGGGAGGGAGGGTTGCCGGGGAGCCTCCGGGTCTCACCCAGAAAATGGTGTTTCATTACATTCAACGCTGGTTTTCTGGGGGGAGCCCCGTCGGCTCCCCGGAGCTAACTACCCACAGAGGAAGGTCAAAGGGACAGAACCGGGAGGCGGACACCACGCACCCCCCAAGGAGGCGAGACAACCGGCAGCAAACGCCAACCCAAGGCGCCACAGCCCCGAAAATCCCGGGAACAACACGAGAACCACGAGCAGCAAGGCCCCTGCACGAACACCAAAAATCCATGCCCGAAAGACCGCAAGGCCACGTCGCCCAGACGGCAGCGAGAGCAGCGAAGCCACGAACGCCACAGGCATGAGGGAAGAACACAGGCAGCTTAGCCGCAAGAACACGGCTGACCACCCGGGACACTATCACCCGCGAACCGGGAAGAACAAGAACCGGATCAACGCAAAACGCGCTCCGGACCCAAACGCCGTGGCACGCAAACAACAGCGGAGGGCCGCCACAAAACACAAAAACGACTCACCCCCGGCCCGACCAACGAAGCACCAACAAACTCTGGACCCCTCCAGAATGCAGCAGCCCCACCCCGCGCCAGAAAAGATGGAGACTGCTGCCACCAAACAACCAAAATGCTAAAACCGAAGGAGCAAGAAAACTCAGCGACTCGACCCCCAGAGGCAAAGGCCCAAAGGAAAGAGCCGACGAAAAAACACACCGGAACCGAAGGGGCACTACCAACCGAGGAGAAGACAGAGCACGCTGACCAGAGACCAGGATGGTGCAAGCGGCGCATGAACAGACCGGAGGTGAAACGACGCACAAGACAGCTGACTAACGGTGCAGAAGCAACACCAAGACCGAAAGCAAGCTGAAGCGGCTCCGCCCGCGCCGCACGAAAAGAGGCGACAGTATGTGGCAAGACGACGGCCCCCAACCCCCACCAGAAAACCAAGCCGAGAGTAAACCAAGCTAACAAGAGTAACCACCTAAGAAGGGACAGGAAAAAGTAGGACCGCCAAAATACCCCATACTGCCGCCAAGTAAAGCACGCAGGTGGTACACTTACCACGAAGCCACCCGACCACCAACCGGAGGCGAGACCGCGAGGCAGAACATAAGCAGCCCCGACAAGGCCCCTCCGAGCCCAGAAAAAAGGCGGAGCCGCGGGAAGATCTCGGGCGTGACCACCGAAACCCAGGCGGCACAAGGAGATGGAACGTCTGCCGAACAGAAAAACTCCCCAAAGCATGCAAGCCCACCAGGAGGTCAGAAACGACGGGTCCGACGCGAGACATCGCAAGACCCCAGAAAAACCAACCGGCAGGGCAAGCTAGGAAACCAAAGAAGGCGGAAGGGTCGCCGCCAGCACAGTACCCGAACCAAGGGGTACGAACAACTGCAATAGACCTAGACAAAGAAGCACATCACAGGACACAGGCTGACCAACGCCTAAGAACACACGCAGAACATCCCTGCTGCAGAGGAGGCAGGAAGAAAGAGCAGAAACACAAAAACCCCAGGAGAACAACCAGGGGTGGACAATCAGGCAGGGACAGAAAAAACCCCCACGCAATCCCCAGGCACAAAACGGCAGCAAAGTGCCACTCCACAACCGGACACAGGAACAAGGACACGCCACCGTGAAACACGGTACCAATGCACACGTGCAGCAGCAGCAACAGGCACCATTGCAACATGCAACATGTAAATAGCAACTCCCTTCTGCAAAGGCAGAGAACAGAGCAGGCAGACCCCAGACAGGGCCAACGGAGACACGACAAAACCTTGCAGGCCCAGAAACCTGCACCAGGCGACCGACGGCGGAGAAACCCCGCTCGATACCTGCTGGATGAGGTACTGGGAGCTCTTTTTACACCTGAAGCCCGGCCCAAGGCCAGGCTAGACCGGCCAGAGGGTGGCCCACCAGGCAGCTGCTAGGAGCAGTCCACCGGCCCACATACCCCCACAACCAGGACGAGCCGGAACTGCCATACGAAAACAGGCTAGTGCGCCCTGGAAGTCCACGGACGAACCAGCAAGAAGGCTTATGTTCGCAAGTAGGTCGTGTAACAAGCACAGACCTCTGATGGTAATACAGTGTTCCCCAAATGTGCCAATAGCACCACTGCACTCCACTGGTACTATCCCGCAAGTTCTACCAGATAGGCGGGACCCAAGAGCCAGAGCTCAAATCCTGCAAGCACAGCCAGGAGCCTTACCAGGTGAGTACAGAACCAACCCAACAACCCCCACACCTCACAACAGTAAAAGAGGAGGGTCCCCTGAATGACTCCAGCATGGGTTGGACATGCACATGAGGGGGACAGGAAGGGTTGAAAAAGGGACAGTCACTGGTGTGCGAACGGTCTCAGTCGTACAAAAATATACCTAAATAAAGACAGGTATATAAACAACACCGCATCCAGCGCCCGGCCAAAAGACGCCAGACAGCAGAAACTCACCTGGCGAATGGTGGCACGAACTTGACACGACTCAACCGTGCCCAGAAGAACCTGGGAGCACCGCCAGGTGAAGACGCCAGAGCCGGACCCTGCCGGAACCGCAGGAGAGCAGGGAGAGGCGAAGGAGGCGGTCCACACCCATGACACAGGGAAAACCGTGGTGCCCTCCCCACAACTGGGAACCAGGACACCCCCGGCGCGAAGGGGCACATACTGCAGCCAGGGAGAAGAACGAGAGGCGAAGCACTGTAGCAAAAAGGGCGCAAAACACCAGCACTGAAACACCGCCCAGACCAAAACAAACTCCACGGCCCATGCGCATAACACGCTGGCCGAACCGCACACCCTCCCTGCGGGAAGGCGCCAGCCAGGACTACTGCACGAGAAAAGTAGCCAAAAGAGGAAGCAGGAACAATAAAACCGGCCAAAGAAGCAAAGAGCCCAAAAAGGAACCCAACCCGACAAGTAGCCCAACCGGGCGACAAGCAGCCCAACCGGGCGACAAGCAGCCCAACCGGGCGACAAGCAGCCCAACAGGGCGACAAGCAGCCCAACAGGGCGACAAGCAGCCCAACAGGGCGACAAGCAGCCCAACAGGGCGACAAGCAGCCCAACAGGGCGACAAGCAGCCCAACAGGGCGACAAGCAGCCCAACAGGGCGACAAGGACGAGGAGCCGACAGACGTTCCAATAATGCGGGAAGTAGGGAAAAACCTTCCCGTACCCTCGAGAACACAGAAGCCAACACTAGTCCCGAAGGCACACGAAGGCGCAGGCGCACCCGAGATCAGAAGTCACGCAGAACCCCATCGAACGGGGAAACATGACGAAAACACCGTCCCAAAAAGGGGGGGAGGAAACATCCACCCACAGGACGGAACCAACCGACTCAAAAGGCCAAGGAACCGAGCCCGGGGAGAGGCCGACACCCAACAGCACGTACGGCGAGTGGGGAGGAAAAACCCCACTCCACGTAACCACAAGCCCCGCCTAGAGGGGGATAAAAAAAACCCACGGGGTCCAACGGGGCCAAGGCCCCCCAAGTCAGCCCCTTCCCAGCCCCGGGAACGTACACAACAGGCCCCGGGGCCGAGCCGTTCCCCCAAAGCCCCGGCCGTACCAGAAAACCGGGGCAGCCGTGAAAACACTAGTGAAGGGAGCCCACTGGCAGACTCTTACAACACAACTGGAGGAACAGGCTCAAATGCCCTCATCACTACCCCGGAAGGGGAATTCCCCGAGACTTCCCGAGTCTCAACACCATCAAAAACCCCGCCCCGAACCTACAGACAGTAAGGAACCGGCTGCAGGCAGGAAGGGTGATCCAGGGGAAAGACAAGGGAGCGTGGATGGAACCGAAGCAACCAACACCCCCAAGTCCCAAAACGAACTACAACGGGGCAGCCCCGGGGCTCCCGGGGAGGAAACCAAGAGAACGTTGCCACCACCAAGGCTCAAGTGCAACGCCCCTGCTGCCCGCACCCGCTTTGTTAGCACAACTGGGTAACCAAGCCACAACGAGCAACCAAACTCGCACGACTCCGGGTCGAAGGTGTCACCGACCCCACAGGCAGCAGACAGAGGCAAAACAGAGAGTCACCCAGAGACAAAGGGTGAGAGCAACCCTCAAACTCGCTGGAAGCGAGGGGGGGACTCTGGGGTCACATCCATCGGACCCGCGCGCCCCCAGGGGTTTCCCAGGGTCCCGAGCGTTTACTATAAGAGGACTCGCGCTCAGGTAATCCCAGGCAGGGTACTGCTAACCGGCACCCAAACCTACCAAACAACTTTCTAAGAGCTGAACCCCCGGGACGTGTACACTCACGGGGACCTAGCAGGAGTACCACCAGAAAATACTCAGAACACAAGGGACACAAAGGGGCAAGAACGAAGGCAGACCCCCCCACCAGGTAGATAAACAAAAAGAAAAAGAAAACCCCGCAAGAGGACAGATTACCCAAGCGGAACAGAGCCGGCCGCTATGATTGGTAAAGACAAGCTGCACAGTACCCTGCGCCCCACCAGTGCAAAAACTGCCCCTTACTCTAAGGCGAACAAGGGAGACAGAACACCCGAGCACACAAAGAGCGGCCGAAAACCAAGCAGTAAACGGCCAAGCAGGGGCAGGACCCAAGGAACTTGTGGAAGGTGGCCCCAAGCCCCAAGGGCAGTACTTACAGGGCACCTAGGGAAGGGAACCCTAGGCGCATGCAGCCCGAGTACAGAAGAATCACTCCCGGCTCACGCACCACCTAGAAAACAGACACCACACTCTAGGTACAGTGCTGAAACAACCACTGGAGCCGGAGCACATAACCGGTGCCTATAGCATCAGCCGAAGAACTGATGGGTGGATAGCCGGCGTGGGAGGTCTGGGGCTCCCCCTTCCCCCTCCCGGGGAGGGGGGAGCTGCGCAGACAGCGGCGCGGTGACGTATGACGTCATACTAGCTTCCTTGTTTTCTGTTGAGTTCTATCCACTAGTTCGGCTTTAGGTAGCAATTTTCACCAGAATAGGGGTTTGTTTTGGAATGCTTACCTTTCTGGATGCTTGACCCGGTCGATGGCAGACATAAAATGCTTCCAACCACACGGGGGTTTCTATAGGCCATTGCTCCCCTTGCCTCTCTGAGGGGGCCAGGTTCTGGCTCGTGGTCCCCAGAAGGCCCTAGAACTCCATACACATGACTGATGCCAAAGTCTGACATTAGCATATCAGCCAGTAAAGCTCCGGGGAGCCCCGTCCATTAGCATATCAGCCGGTAAAGCTCCGGGGAGCCAACGGGGCTCCCCCCAGAAAATAAAATTAACAGATACTGCGCTATCTTCTTTAATCAATCTGAAATTAAATTATTATTGTTAGCATTATTTTTGTTGTGCTAATTTGAGTTATATTCTTGTCTTAACATAGTAGTGACCCAGAGAAGAATTTACAAGCCAGCAGTGACCTAGCCTGTAGACTGTTGCTTTAGAGTACTACATGCACTTAACAAGCCTATACTGTACTTCATTGATATTACATTGTTTTATTAACACCCTATCCTCTGTGAAGCAATAATGTACAAGAAATTTATTTAACTAATGTAGTTTTTGTCATCATGTATGTTACCCTACCATTTTATGTACGATACACACACACATGCTTACTTCTATAATAATTTTGTTACACAGTACTGAATAAGATTATGTTAAAAGGGTTGGGCATATATATTTTCTAAGTGTAGTTATATGATGAGACCTACACCTGTGTAATTGCAAACACTCCCAAAAACAGCCAAAACTAAAAAAAAAAACTCCATTTTATGATCATACGTAAGTGTTTAATGTTTCAAGTCAAAACAATGTTTTCTCCGGATACTTCATGGAAACCTTGGCATAAGAGATAAAAATGACGAACCATAAAGTATCCCTACCAGGTACAGGTATACTAATAAACTTACCCACTATTTTCTACTGCCTTTTGGGCATATTCAACTTGAAATACACGTCCATCTGGTGAAAACTGCGAAGCTGAGAGATCATACTGGAAAATAAATTAAGCATCAAATATTTAACCTAAACATTTAAATGTAATATCATGTCTCTAGCATCATCCTTATTACCCCATTTACCACTTTCATGCGGGTAGAAGAGAAATCAGCATGGAAGGAACATATCAAATAGAAAATTTAAAAAAAAAATAACCCTCATGCCATGCCATGACTTCCATACTGCAGCCAAACAAAAAAAAGTAGTCACACACCAACTATACTGTATATCCACAGTAGCAACCTTCCACATTTTAGCTCCATGTCCTACTACACAAATCAATTCTTTAGTCCACACATGACAAACTGAGCTCATAATGCATTATTATATTTCAGTTGTTTATCAAGGATAACTGACTAAATAATAGCTTGTAAGATGAAGTGTGTTGGTGGTTCACCAGTGTCTAAGCATCACCACCTTTTACTGCTGCCTCCTCCTCTAGTAATTGTACCTCATTTTTTCAAAAAGCATCACATCAGACAAGCAGAACATTACCATCACTCAAGGTACATAAATTCAGCATTGAATGTAATGAAACACCTAAAGTTATCTTCCTGAAATTGCTCCCTTCTAAAGGGTCACATCAGTTACAGGAGTTCTTCTTGGCCTACTGGGGGACCAGAGCCAGAACCTGGCTCCACTCACACAAGTGCAGGGAGCAAGTGACAATTTGCCACACCACCGGGAAAGCATCCAGAAAGTCAGTGAAGCTTTATACACAACTGTAAACAAAGTGTCGAAAATACCAAAGAACTACGCAAATGATTCAAATGTAACAGTTGGTTCACTCAAAACTAACTGAAAACTAAGCTCAATTATTATTATTATCCACATACCGTATACGATTTAAAAAATGTGTATCCATATTGGAACAGATGAAAGCCCAAGCTGAGAGCAACCATCCTCAGGCCAGACTTGTCCCTAAAGATGCCACCATCAATTTTAACGTACTATTATAAATAGGTTTGTTCCCAAATATATAAAAATATTATTCATTAAAGTTTTATGTAGTTAGGCATAGGTTAGGTTTGATGTTTAGGTTCTGTTGGTGACTATTTGTGTATGAAGTACATGGATGAAGCATTTCCATAATTTTTATTAATTTATCAATATGTTTTTAACAATTTTCTTTGGGTACTCAACCATTCTTGTGTGATATTACAAATATAACAAGCTTAGAACTGAATATCATTACAGCAGGAATGGCTGGAATCACCAGGGTAGCTTCCGTGTGGCAAAGTAAATAATAATAATGTTTATTTAAGCAAGAGTACTTACATGAAAACTATACATGAATAATAGAGGATTCAAGTAACAACATATGACCTAATGACCTCCCATTGGTTTCTGGCCACCCGACACAGGAGGGTAGAAATAGCCTAAACTACTCTATCCTTTTGAGATGTATTTTATTGACTCAATGTTGTGTTGTGCGACATAACGATAATGCATACCATATTAAATTATATTAAATAATTACATTAATTAATTATATCAGTGTAACGTTAAGGCTCGTGTACCGACACCCAAATTCCAAAATTTGGTCATGCACCTACAGAGGCTAGTTTGTGTACTCTGAATTTAGCAAACAATTTTCCCTAACTAAATAACCTTTGGCTCCCTCAACTCACCCCTGTGCCGATTGAACTCATTATGCACTATTATAATAGTATTAAATAGCGTTATATCTCTCTCGCTAGAAGCAGTTGCGTGACGGTCGCCGCTGTCAACAGTCACCAAGCATCGACTTCCCTCACGACCCGTTCTCCTCAACGCTCGCTTCTCTTTTAGCTTTAGTCTGCCTCTGAAACTCGTATGAATATTTAATATAGTTTCCATTAAAATATATAAAAATAATGCAAAATTATTTTAGCAAATACTTTTTATAATAGAGTACTTTTAATTTGTTAATACTAACATATTTTTCAAATTCAAATGATAAATAATTATAGACTAAAAGTATGTTAAATAAGCCCACATGTAGTATGATGGCGTTAAAGATATGCTAGTAAAAGAAAGCTTTAAATAAATAATTTAGCATCATCTATACAGACTTATTTAACTTATCAAAAATTACTCTCACTATAAAGTAATATATAAGTGTATGACAATATTTTTAATAATGAGTCGACGTTTAAAAACGAGAATTATATGTACGGGCAGCGTAAAACATCCACTAGACACTGTACTCACCTAATTGTGCTTGCGGAGGTTGAGCTCTGGCTGTTTGGTCCCGCCTCTCAACCTTCAATCAACAGGTGTACAGGCTCCTGAGCCTATTGGGCTCTTATCATATCTACACTTGAAACTGTGTATGGAGTCAGCCTCCACCACATTGCTTCCTAATGCATTTCATTTGTCAACCACTCTGACACTAAAAGAGTTCTTTCTAATATCTCTGTGGCTCATTTGGGCACCCAGTTTCCACCTGTGTCCCCTAGTGCGTGTGCCCCTTGTGTTAAATAGCCCGTCTTTATCAACCCTGTCGATTCCCTTGAGAATCTTGAATGTGGTGATCATGTCCCCCTAACTCTTCTGTCTTCAGGCGAAGTGAGGTTTAATTCCCGTAGTCTCTCCTCGTAGTTCATACCTCTCAGCTCGGGTACTAGTCTGGTGGCAAACCTTTGAACCTTTTCCAGTTTAGTCTTATGCTTGACTAGATATGGACTTCATGCTGGGGCTGCATACTCCCGGGTTGGCCTGACATATGTGGTATACAAAGTTCTGAATGATTCCTTACACAAGTTTCTGAATGCCGTTCTTATGTTGGCCAGCCTGACATATGCCACTGATGTTATCCTCTTGATATGGGCTGCAGGAGACAGGTCTGGCGTGATATCAATCCCAAGTCTTTTTCTTTCTCTGACTCCTGAACAATTTCATCTCCCAGATTATACCTTATATCTGGGCTCCTGCTCCCTACATCTATCTTCATTACATTACATTTGCTTGGGTTAAACTCTAACAACCATTTGTTCGACCATTCCTTCAGCTTGTCTAGGTCTTCTTGAAGCCTCAAGCAGTCCTCTGTCTTAATCCTTCTCATAATTTTGGCATCGTCAGCAAACATTGAGAGAAATGAATCTATACCCTCCAGGAGATCATTTACATATGTCAGAAACAAGATAGAACCGAGTACAGAGCCCTGTGGGACTCCACTGGTGACTTCACGCCTATCTGAGGTCTCACCCTTCACCGTAACTCTCTGCTTCCTACTGCTTAGGTACTCCCTTATCCACTGGAGCACCTTACCAGCTACACCTGCCTGTCTCTCCAGCTTATGTACCAGCCTCTTATGCGGTACTGTGTTAAAGGCTTTCCGACAATCCAAGAAAATGCAGTCCGCCCAGCCTTTTCTTTCTTGCTTACTCTTTGTCACCTGGTCGAAGAATCCTATTAAGCCAGTCAGGCAAGATTTACCCTCCCTGAACCCATGTTGGTGATTTGTCACAAAGTCCCTTCTCTCCAGATGTGTTACTAGGTTTTTTCTCACGATCTTCTCCATCACCTTGCATGGTTTACAAGTCATGGACACTGGCCTGTAGTTCAGTGCTTCTTGCTTGTCGCCCTTTTTGTATATTGAGACCACATTCGCCGTCTTCCATATTTCTGGTAGGTCTCCCGTCTCCAGTGATCTACTATACACTATGGAGAGTGGCAAGCAGAGTGCCTCTCCACATTCTTTCAGTACCCATGGCGAGATCCTGTCTGGACCAACAGCCTTTCTAACATCCAGATCCAGCAGGTGTCTCTTGACCTCCTCTATCGTAATTTCGAACCCTTCCAAGGCCGCCTGGTTTACTTCCTTTTCTCCCAGCACAGTGACCTCACCTTGTTCTATTGTGAAGACCTGGAACCTCTTGTTGAGTTCTTCACACACCTCTTTGTCATTTTCTGTATTCAAATTCAAATTCAAATGTTTATTCAGGTAAAGTACATATATATAGGGTGTGATACAAATATTGATGAATTTATAGAGAGAGCTAGTGCATACAATGCCTAAAGCCACTATTACGCAAAGCGTTTCGGGCAGAATTCCCTTTTTGTTTACTGCCTCTTGACACTTTTGGGTGACATAGTCCATCATATCTTGTACAGACTTAACTGTGAGGTCTGTGTCCCAAGGTATTTCCCTTAGGAAACTTCTCATCTCTCATAATTCCCCTTTCGGTATACCTGTCCTCGCCTGTTCTAAGTTTCATTACCTGTTCTTTCACTGTTGTTTTCCTCCTGATGTGACTGTGGAGTAGCTTTGGTTCGGTCTTGGCTTTGTTTGCTATATCATTTTAATAACTTTTCTCTGCTTCTCTTCTCACCCTAACATACTCATTCCTGGTTCTGTGGTATCTCTGCTTTCTGGTGTTCTGTTATTCCGGAAGTTCCTCCACGCCCTTTTGTTCATTTTCTTTGCTTCCATACATGCCCAATTATACCATGGATTCTTCTTTTGCTTCTCGGATTTTTCCCTTTAGGCCCGGATGAACCTGTTTACTGCCTCCTAACACTTTTGGGTGACATAGTCCATCATATCTTGTACAGACTTAGCTGTAAGGTCTGTGTCTCAAGGTATATCCCTTAGGAAATTTCTCATCTCGCATAATTCCCCTTTCGGTATGCCAGTCTTTTGTTTCCTAGTTCTTTTTGGGAGGAGATAATTCCAGGTACTCAAAGTTCAATACACTGTGATCACTCATTCCTAAGGGGCCTTCCATCTTAACTTCCCTTATATCCCACTCATTTAGGGTAAATATCATATCGAGCATGGCTGGTTCATCTTCTCTCATTCTTGTTGGTTCCTTGATGTGCTGGCTTAGAAAGTTTCTTGTTGCCACGTCCAGCAGCTTAGCTCTCTATGTTTCTGGTCCTCCACGCGGGTCTCTGTTCTCGCAATCTATCTTCCCGTGGTTGAAGTCTCCCATGATTAGTAGTCCTGATCCATTCCTGCTAGCAATAGAAGCTGCTCTCTCTATTACGTTAATGGTGGCCATGTTGTTTATTGTATTCACCTAGTTGTGATTGCGGGGATTGAGCTCTGCTCTTTCGGGCCGCCTCTCAACTATCAATTAATCAACTGTTACTAACTACTAGCCAACTATTTTTTTTCACACACACACACACAAACACACACAAACACACACACACACACACACACACACACACACACACACACACACACACACACACACACACACACACACACACACACACACACATGAATATGTCAGGATGAGAAGAGAGGCAGAAAGACAATACGAAAATGACATCGCAAGCAAGGCAAAGACTCAGCCTAAATTGTTGCATAGCCACATTAGGAGAAAAACAAAAGTAAAGGAACAGGTTATGAGATTAAGGATAGGGGCGGAAGGATTCACTACAAATGACAAGGAAGTGTGTGAGGAATTGAATAAGAAATTCCAGGAGGTCTTCACCTTAGAACAAGGAGAAATTCCAGAGGTAAGTGAGGGAATAGCTAACCAGGAACCACTGGAAGAGTTTGAGATTACCAGTGGGGAAGTAAGGAAGTGTTTACTAGAGTTGGACGTGACGAAGGCTATAGGCCCAGATGGAATCTCCCCTTGGGTTCTAAAGGAAGGAGCAAGAGAACTGAGCCTACCACTCTCCATAGTGTATAACAAATCACTGGCAACAGGGGAACTGCCAGATATTTGGAAAGCAGCTAACGTAGTCCCGATATACAAGAAAGGGGATAGACAGGAGGCACTGAACTACAGGCCAGTGTCCCTAACCTGCATACCATGCAAGCTGATGGAGAAGATTGTGCGAAAAAACTAGTGGAGCATCTGGAGCGAAGGAACTTTGTAACACAGCATCAACATGGGTTCAGGGATGGCAGGTCCTGCCTCACAGGGTTACTTGAATTCTACGACCAGGCAACAAAAATAAGGCAAGAAAGAGAAGGGTGGGCAGACTGCATATTTTTGGATTGTCAGAAAGCCTTTGATACAGTACCACACAAGAGGCTAGTGCGAAAGTTGGAGATGCAGGCTGGAGTGAGAGGGAAGGTACTCCGGTGGATAGAGGAATACCTAAGCAACAGGAGACAACGAGTCTGTGTGAGGGGTGAGGTCTCAGATTGGCGAGACGTCACAAGTGGAGTCCCGCAGGGGTCAGTCCTTGGACCTATACTGTTTCTGGTATATGTAAATGATCTCCCAGAGGGTATAGATTCGTTCCTCTCAATGTTTGCCGACGATGCAAAAATTATGAGGAGGATTGAAACAGAGGATGATAGTAGGAGGCTACAAGATGACCTGGATAGACTGAGTGAATGGTCCAACAAATGGCTGTTGAAGTTCAACCCGAGTAAATGCAAAGTAATGAAACTAGGCAGTGGAAACAGGAGGCCAGGCACAGGATACAGAATAGGAGATGAAGTACTTAATGAAACAGACAGAGAGAAAGATCTAGGAGTTGATATCACACCAAACCTGTCTCCTGAAGCCCACATAAAGAGAATAACGTCTGCGGCATATGCGAGGCTGGCTAACATCAGAACGGCGTTCAGGAACCTGTGTAAGGAATCATTCAGAATCTTGTACACCACATATGTAAGACCAATCCTGGAGTATGCGGCCCCAGCATGGAGCCCGTACCTTGTCAAGCACAAGACGAAGCTGGAAAAAGTACAAAGGTATGGTACTAGACTAGTCCCAGAACTAAGAGGCATGAGTTATGAGGAAAGGCTGCGGGAAATGCACCTCACGACACTGGAAGACAGAAGAGTAAGGGGGGACATGATCACAACCTACAAAATCCTC